AAACTCAGTTTTAGTTTTAATTGGCTGTCCTCATAATAAAACTCAGTTAATGTCTATAATTTCCTGATTCTAATTAGTTTATCTTTTCATTTAACTTTAAAAACTCACAATTCATAGACTTCCTTCTCTGGATAGATACTAGTTTTCTTCTTTTATTTATTTTTTCATTCGTTTTCTTTTTAAATTGCTTCCAGTGGAATCACAGAGCTCATATGGGCAGAGAACTGCCATAATTTGCTTAAAAGATCATTTCACCCCAGTAAAATATCCTCTTGATCCAGGTACACTGGCAAAAGTTCCAATCCAAAAGTGAAAATATTCATTTTGTTGGTTGCTTTATTCTTCTGCTTCATGGACCCTCAAATTGCAGAGGATTACTTGTATTATTCTAACCTAAGAAGAAACAATATCACACAGGTCAGGAATAGACTTAAAATTTTATCCTCGTGTTCTTCATGTGCAATTTCTGTTTTCTCAATAGACATGTTAATCTTACCAGTATGTAGTAGTTGAGATTTTTTTCTCTAACTACGTCTGAGTTGGATTGGCTTGCTTTTATGAAATTATAGTGAATTAGTTATCATCTTTCGGGATTTAGCAGGTTGATTGATATTTAAATTGTTACTATTAAGGAGTGATTTCTAGATTATTTGATGACCTTGTTTTTCTGAAGACATAAAAAATATAACAAAAAAATGTCTTTTGCAGTCTAGACTGCCCAACTTAAAACATTGAATGGGTGGGGCAAATCCTCTGATATTCGGAATTGTCCCCATCCAATGGTTCCTGTTTTCTATCTCCAAACTACAAAACAAGGCACTCAAAATATAAAATAAAAATAATAAAAAGGTGAAAGACAAAAATGATGTTAATCTTATGTTGATCAGAAATTCAGAAGCAAATTGTTATCTGCCACGTTTAGGTCCATAAAGTACACCAATTAAAAACACAGGTAAAGAATTGAGTGCAAATATAATTAAGAAATAGAAGCAAACGCCGGATTGTCATGTTTACAAAATCTTGTCTGGACACGTAATTTAGCCATTAATTTCAATATGTGATGGGATTTTTTTAGTATTAAAATCTTCCAATTTGTCAAGATAACATGAATTATTTGGGGATTTAGGAGACTAATTTTCAACTTGTCATGTATCTATTTCAGACATAGGTATGAACAAGAGAAACTTTTTACTGTTTAAGTGAATTAGCGTGGCAGGAAGACATTGAAAGATGCAAATCAGTTAGGTGTAAAGCAGATATTCCTGGGGCATGAAACAAAATGATTCTGCAATATTTTATTTAAATATTAAATTACTTTTGGGGGAAGCATTAGATGAATACCATACCAGTTTCTGTCAAGATTAACTCAATGTTCTTTGGAGGGAGCCAACTAGGCTACATTAGAAATGACATAAGAAAAAACGATGTTTACCTAATATCTCCTTCACTTTTAGTTGGTTAAGCAGGTCAGACTTTTGAAACTTCTTATGAAGAATATAAAAAGGTAGACATCTTTTTTTTTTTTTTGTATTAACTTACCAATATTCGATAATCATATTAGGTTTGACTAAACTAAAATCGAGTCCCGTTGGATCCATTAGAGGGGAAGCTCTCCCAACGTCTATTTCTTCATTCATAAGACTCAAACTCGAGACCTTACTTAAGTAAAATCGAGCTCTTTCCACTCCAATCAACGGATCCTTGCTAAAAGATAGATATCTATGATATCATACCGCTACATCCGTACACTTAGGTTTGTTCTTACATATTAAAAAACCTCCAGAAATAGGAAAAAACTTATTACAGGTAATTTATTGTTTGTCTTCTCTTTGGCCTTATGTTTTGTTTCTTTATTAACATCCACGATAATCTCGATGTGGTGTGTTAGTAATGGTCCTGTATGTTTACTACTGTTCATATCTTTTGCTCTCTAATGGGTGCATGGTGCTTACTTTCTATTTTCTTTTCCTATCCCTCTCGTTAGTATCCAAAGACTAGTGGTGGAAATCTGAATGTTTTGTTTATTGATTTGCTTTCTTCTGGTTTTTACATCAGTAAAAGAGACACAAAATAAAAGGGGTTCTTTTTTAGAATTCTTTTTTGTTTTCTTGTTCTCTTCTTTACATTTGTTTTGGTTTCCATAAATTTGAATTCTAGTAACGGGCATACTTGTAAGTTTTAGAGGGTAGAAAATATTGCCCAGTTGATAGGAAAATTATCCAAGTTAAAAATATGGGGTTGTTTCTTACACGAAAGAAAAATGGGATGACTGAGTAGGGTCAGCTAACCTTAATTAGTTTCTAATCTCTGTATTCATTGCTCACTGTCTCCTTGAGTCCCACAATACAGCTAACACTTAACGCAAATTAAACTTTTTTCCGGAAAATAAAGAACTCCACTTGTGATTGCATGGATAAAGGGCAACCGTGGTTTAGAGGTAGGGAACAGAAAGCTCTTTCTCAAGCACTGAATCTTCCATATTTGAGCATTAAAATACATTAAATTGTTCTGCCAAAAGAAGTAGGCCAGGTTCTGAACAACTAAGCCAAAACTGTTTGCCATTTATCTAGTACATCTCACTCATTTTCCATTCTAAAAATCAATAGAACTAAGCAACAAAACCAAAAATAAAAAAAGAGAGCATCTAATAGCCACCCCTTGAGGAACTGTGTCTGAAATCCAAACTTACCACAGTGAAAGCTAGCCCAGAGAAATGAACAAGAAAGGGAAAGAAATTACAAAGATGATTAAGGGGAGCAGAGAAATGAAATATAGTCTCTTCAGTATGTGAAAAATGCTAGTCTTCTACAGTTGAGGAACAGTAACTTTCCAAATCTTGATGTCACAGTCCAAGCTCCCACTATAAACACTATAAGATGTATCAGAAGGGTTACAATCATCCACTGCTCCTGTTAAGCACTTGACAGGGCCTGTGTGCCCTTCTAGGATTGCCAAACAGGAAAAATTCCCCTCAAAATCTCTCCAAATTCTGACTGTTTTATCTGCAGAACCACTGCATACTAAATCTGACACCACTGTCAAGCACAATATGGACTTGGTGTGGCCTCTAAGAGCCCCAACAACAACCATGCCACTTCCACTGGCCTTCTTCCATACCACTATAGATCTGTCACTTGCCCCTGAGTACAGAACAGACCCATCAGGACTTAGAGCTAATGCATTAATCCCGGAATTGTGTTTTTCTAGAGTAGCAACAAGAGAATGTTTTTTCTCTCCTATTTTTTTATTCCACACCTTAATTTTCTTGTCAGCTGATCCAGTATAAACATCTCCATGATTTGATAATGCCAATGCATTTATTGCATCATCATGAGCATTTGTTACTGATTCCAAACATCTGAAGTCACTTGTTCTCCAGATTTTGAATGTCCTATCCCATGAAACAGAATAGAGGAGGGTCTCATCCATGGACAAGGCAAGTGCTGATACAGTATCAACATGATGGACCCAGGTGCATTTCTTGTGCCTTCTGATTTGAACTTGGTTCTTGGGCAAGAGAAGCTTCAAAGCACGGTCACCAAGTGTTGGTAAGGTAGCTAAATGCGTATACTTTTGATGATTTGGATCATCACTGATTATCTTCCATACTCGTATCTTGTGATCTTGATGAGCACTGAAGAGTTTATCACCCAATACAACCAAGGACTTCACTGCACCTTTTCCCACTGCCATCACGTTGTTTGGTAGATCTTGGTAGTCAGAACTCTGGAGGTTGCGCTTCCATGATCTGATTTCCCTATCTGAAGAGCCTGTGAATAGGAACTTTCCAGCAACGGTGAGGGAGGATATGTAGGAGGTGTGGCCTTTGAGAGTGACAAGGCAGTGGTGGTGAACATTAGAAAGACATTCTTGGTGGGGGACTCGTGAGGTGAGGGTAGGAACGGATGGAAGGCTTGGCTGAGAATAAAGAGACGGCGGGTCTGATTGAAAGCAGTTAGAGTTAGACGGTGATTCATAATTTGGATGATAAATCTGATGGCAGGACATAATTCTTGTGAGAGCATGAGAGAGACAAGGTGGAAGAATGACAAGTGAGTTAAATATATAGAGGAAGAATTTTATGAGAGCGGTATGAGGTACTTTAGTGGAAAATATATTAAATTTAAATTATTCATTAGACTAAGATTTAGAAGAGGTGTTTGTTAGAAAAAAAAGAAAAGAAAAGAAAGGGAAGGTGAATGAAGCAAGGATGGGTGCTGATCATTTTAATTTTATTCTGATATCTAGGTGGAGAATGGGAATTGGTTGTGGACAGCCATAGGGCATACACTTATTATTGTATTATTTTGCTCTCCTTTGCAAGGAACAAGAATTAGATTAATTAGATGCTTCCATAGAGAAGATGAATGTATGGTCAGTTTCGAAATAATGCAACTTTTCTTGCTTAATATCAATAGGAAAGTTTTTGTCTTAGCAATGATGTAGGCAAGCTTGACCCACCACTAACAAATAACTCTACCTCTTAATCACCCATGACATAAAGATAGCTGCCTGCTAATCAGACTTTTTTGGCGCAGTGGTCAGTGACTGGTATCCAGGGCTAGCTTGCATATACTAGACAAAGTCCTAATCTCTCGTTGGGTCTAAAGCAAGTCATTCACACTGGCACTAGGAAATTCATGAATCATGAGGGATAAGCTCCTCATAGCCTCCTCAAGTGATCAGGTCCTTATCAACAATGTTGGGAGAAAATATCTTACCAATCAAGCTACTACAGTCTACTAATCAGATGGTTACTAGCATTTTTTATGATAGCTGTAAAAGCCTAACTAACTTGGTCCTAAAAGAATTGCTAGATTCCTAGGCTGACGGGGAAGGAATGGCAGGAAAATAAAACATTGATTGAGACTCCTTTGTTTTATAAAAAAGAATGTACCAACAGAAAAGGAAGAAGTAGGCATTCAGGATAGGACAAGGATGTATCTAATCATCATTTTTTTTACCTCATTGTGGGCACTTGTCAAGATATTGAAAACACAAATTTTGTAAAACTTTCTCTTTGTGGTTGGTCCAAATGGTGCCTAACATTTTATAGCTGCTAACTTTTGAGCATGTCTTGCACTCAGATATGTTCATCTATCTCTTCATGATGTCCATGGTAAGGACACCATGAAATGTTTAAAATGATGCATTTTACTCTATTTTAACTTTTAGGTTAAAAAAATTTTAAAAAAAATTATAAAAAAAAAAAAAAAAAAAAAAAAAAAAAAAAAACTTCACATTCTCATGATTTCATGGTTGAATAAAAGTTACATTTTATGATTTAATTTTGATAATTAACATCCATTGAATTAATTTCATTGGAAGTATGCTAACTTAGTTATCTCCTAAAACCTCTTTGTGCAGCAAAGAATGCTGGCACTTGACACTTGACATGGAAGAATGGTGCTCAAAGGTATTTTATGGGTTCATGTGCATTTTACATGTACGTAATATACATTGATGTTAGCTTGCTTTTCTAGCAGGGAAATTTCTAGGGTTGCTTTCGTTGCTTCATCACAAAAGCTGAATGAGACTTGGAGTTTTGGTCCAGAAGATTAGGTGGAACCGGGGCCATGTTTGTTAGCCATAATTTCCTTTCACGTAATTGCTGAGTTCAACCTACCCCCTTTCATATTTCCCCATGTCTCCCTGAAATTTGCCCATTGAGCTCTAGATCGATCATCAGAAGTAAAAGTTTTCTGACCATATCTCCTCTGCTAACCAGATAATTGTCCCTTCACCGCCCTAACCCCCATTCTGAATGCGACGTTTTCATTTGGCCTAAATGATGTAAACAGGATCTTGAGATTTAAACAAAAGGACAGTAGGAAAACGACACAATAGATGTATCTTTCTAAGGATTTGTGGTTCGACTTAGGACCCCTCATTCACAATTAAGAGATAACAACGACCAAATAAAGTCCAAAATGCTTGAGTTTTCTGTATTACTAAATGGACTAAAAGTTTAGGGCATTTTTCTTAACTAGGTAAGGATTCACGTGGGTCATGTAGACTAGACACTTTGTATGATCCATAGGGGTTAATGGTGGGTGGTTTCTGTCCTTACTCTAATTGATTATTCATTTTTCTTAAGATTTATTGAGGTCAGAAGAACTTTTAATCGTATAGGTCCTATCGTTTGATATGAGATGATAAAGAAAGTCGTTAGGACCACTGATTAAGTACTTGACGTTGTAATTAAGAGACACACTGAGATCTTAAAAGGTTCAAGAATTGAATTATAAGTTTCTTACACAAATGTTCAAATATCTTGACAAAAAGAATTGTTACAGATTCTAGCTAGGATGTAATGTGGACAACTGTTTGGATGACTGTCTGTACAAAAAAACAGAAAGGACAACTGAAAATTTAAGTATGATTCTTATTTGGCTTCATCTGTTTTTGACCTTTGGTATTCTTCGGTTTGCATTTTTTTTTTTTTTTTGTGGTAAGTTCAGTTTGCATATTTTGACTTCCCTGCTATTGCAGATAAATTTTCCATTCAACGTCATTCATTTCTCCTTGGGTGATTTTATTGATTGTGTCATCTTTGATTTTAATAGCTAACCATGGATCACTGTGTTCTTAACACAGATTTCTGAACTTAATTTTTGTTTTTTTAGTTCAATCATTGGAGAGGCTATTATGTGATTAATCTCCACCCATATTTGATAGCAGGGAAAGATAAATGATTTGCAGGCGGTGAAAGGAGTGCGAAATTTTCTCAACCATTGATTATTCAAGGCCTCACTCAAAATCAACAGTTGAGGAATATTCGGATTCAGCCCCACACAGCTCAAGTACAAGGATTTTTCCACCTTAACAGTAACTTGGTGAGTTATATGTTTTTGGAATGGTTTCTTGTCATTTTTACTTTATCCAGGAAAACAATGCTATCATTTAAAGTCATCTACATATAATCAACATTCACACACATCAAAAGCACTTTCTCTGATTTCTTTTTTGGCCCGAAAAGCACCTTTGATATTTAATTAGAAAGTACAGCAAAGTAAAACTTGCTTTTCCTATTCGGTGCTCCATGATATGCATAATGAACACCAAAGTTGATTGATCCAAGGAAAGAAGGAAAAAAAAAAAAAAAAAAAGAGCCGAAAGGGATATTCTCTTTTGAGGTTCCTGTCTTACAGTCCACCTTATAGTGGACCGCAAGATCAGGACCATCAAAAAGGAGGACAACATGGGCTGAATATCAAGACTCACCTCCTTTGATGGTTCTGATCTTGTGGTCTGTTATATGATGAATTGTAAGACAATTTTTGCTTCTCTTTTTGAAAAAAATACTGTTTTCTTGTGGTTGAATATAATAACAGATTTTGAAAACCCAATATCGAACTCATTTCTCACTACAATATGTTTCATGGTGGGTAAAAAGTTGTTTTTGATTGTAGCTTTTGGCCTTTTGCCCTGTTGGCTTGTATTCTTAGTGAGGAAGAAGGATTGACTTCACACAAAACTTGTCTGTATAATCTTCTATACATGTCATGTACCCACCTCCACAACTGTACATCATTAAGGCTAATAAAAATCTCAACAAAGCACATTATGTAATTTTAAACTCGAATAATCAAATCAATATGTAATGAAATTATTGAAAAGAAACCTAACTCTAGTTTCGACACAATATATTCTATCTTGATAATTACATGATTAGGCTGGAAGATTCAGGTTTCAGTTTCATTCTGTTTGTTTTGTTACTTTATTAAGTATAAACCAGCACTTGGTTTTGCTGGGAGGACCCATGTTTGTTGCAAAAGGATAGAGATGTAGTAGGTTAGATATTTCAAAATCTTGGGTTCCTTTCTGGTTTGATTCTTGTTGTAGACATAATTACCAATGGGGTCTTACAACTATCGCACTAGCTTCTGCATACATATATGGTAGATACCTATAGCTTGCAAACCCTATACATCATTGTCTGTTGGTCCTATGACTGAAAGTGACAATTGGATCTGCATGATGATATGATTCGCATAAAATGATAATGTGTATTTTTAAATTTCTATTATTTATTTATTTATTTTCTACATTTATAAGATGATTTAGATGTTTAAGAATTAGGATTGTTGAATTTTGTTGAAGCTTGATAACAAGTCTTGGAATCTCAATTGGTTTAGACTCATGGGTGAGGAAGGTTGTCTGTTAAGGTTGTGAAATTGATAGATACTAGATACTAACTCAGTTAAGTTTTATATAAAAGAAAAAAGTATATCAATTTTTACT